GTTTAGGGTTAGGTTTAGGGTTAGGTTCAGGGTTAGTTTTAGGGTTAGGTTTAGGGTTAGGTTTAGGGTTAGGTCTAGGGTTAGTTTTAGGGTTAGTTTTAGGGTTAGGTTTAGGGTTAGGTTTAGGGTTAGGTTTAGGGTTAGGTTTAGAGCGCGCTTCTGTTGGCGCGCTGTTGTCGGCGCGCTTCTGCGCTCATTTGTCGGCGCGATTTAGAACTCGCGGTTTTGTCGCCGCGGTTTCGTCGGGCACGCTTTTGTCGAGCGCACATTTGTTGGGGAACTGTGTGCATGCATTCCCAGACCCATAATGCAATGCACGTGTGACAACCCCCCCTCCCCCATGCATGTTGGACCCTGTTTTGGCCCATAAATTCCATGGGCAAAATCTCCTGCATGAAATAGCTTCATGGCATTTAACCAACCTGAAGTTGCCCCTAGTAATAATTTTACTCACCGATTTGCTGATGAGCTCCTGCTGATAGGATTGGCCATCACGTTAGCAATTTGATGTTAGAGGAGAATGTTTTACAGTCTTTGCAGGTAATTCAAGAGAAGGATAAATTATCGTATAACAGACAGGGGGTTTCGCAATACAGACAGAGATATTAGGAAAAAAAAGTGTAATAACATTTCATGGAAAGATAATGGTTCCCCCCCCCCTGTATTACTATAATTTGAAAATATCTAACTCTGCTTTATGGATGGTTGTACAAATTATATCACAGTTGATTAATTATTCTTTTTATAGTTCTCAAATTTAGTTTAAAGTTAAAATGTACCCTGTCAAATAGCTTCATTTATTAAGAAAGGAGCATATATACTGCCATCTCTTAAATATAATTTGAACAGCTGTCAAGGGAAGAAAAAAAATATATAAGACCATCAATTCCAAATCGCTCTAAACCACTAAAAATGTTGGGGAAGAGCATATTTTATTGTCTACAATATCTATGGTATTTTAAAATTAATTTATCAAAATATTGAGAAGTCAAAATATAGCAAAGTAGCTACCTTACTTTGCTTTTTCCATTGCTTCCTAAAGGATTATTTAATTTTCTTTTTAGATTTATATTTTTCTGTTACCTACTTCAATTTTTCCACCACCAGAAAACGGGGTGTTGATTGGGTTAAGACAGAACCCGTGTCTCCCCATCCTAGTCTATTTTTTCAACCACTAAATCACATTGTTTCTCATTATATAATATCTATAGATGGATAATCTATCTATCTATCTATCTATCTATCTATCTATCTATCTATCTATCTATCTATCTATCTATCTATCTATCNTTAAGGCCTGGCCTTCAAGCCGCTGAGCATCTTGGGAGTTTAAGGCCTGGCCTTCAAGCCGCTGAGCATCTTGGGAGTTTAAGGCCTGGCCTTCAAGCCGCTGAGCATCTTGGGAGTTGGAGTCCAACCTTGGGGTTGGGAAAGGCTGGTCCAACAGCCTTTTGATGTACGAGAAGCATAAAACCCTCCTCCCCACAGGAAGAAGAGCTGAAGAAGGCCAAGGAGGAGGAGGAGCGGCGGGAATACGAGGAATACCTCAAGCTGAAGGAGAGCTTTGTGGTGGAAGAAGAAGGCGTAGACGAAGCCCTGACGGAGGAGCAGGTACGCCCGGTCGGCTGGCTGCAGAGGGCAGGCATGAGGCGGAAGAGTGGAAGATGGGAACGGTGGGATGGGATTTGTTGCCTTTCAAGAGAAAGAAGAGCTCGTCTGTATGATAGGGAGGGAGGGAGGAGAGAGAATGGGAGAGGATGGAAGAAAGGGAAGGAAGGAGGGGACGGAAAGAAGGTCAGATGGAAGGAAAGACAAAAGAAAAGAAGAAAGGAAAGGGAGGGAAGGAAGGAAGTATGGGTAGAGAAGGAGGGAGGGAAGGAGAGAAAGGGAGAGGATGGAAGAAAGGGAAGGAAAGAGAAGGTCAGAGGAAGAAAGAAGACAAAGGAAAGGAAGGGGAGAAGAAGGGAAGGAAGTATGGGTAGAGAAGGAGGGAGGGAAGGAGAGAAAGGGAGAGGATGGAAGAATGGGAAAGAAGGAGGGAAAGAGAAGGTCAGAGGAAGAAAGACAAAGGAAAGAAGGAAGGGGAGAGGAAGGGAAGGATGGGTAGAGAAGGAGGGAGGAAAGGAGAGAAAGGGAGAGGATGGAAGAATGGGAAAGAAGGTCAGAGGAAGAAAGACAAAGGAAAGAAGGAAGGGGAGAGGAAGGGAAGGAAGTATGGGTAGAGAAGGAGGGAGGAAAGGAGAGAAAGGGAGAGGATGGAAGAATGGGAAAGAAGGAGGGAAAGAAGGTCAGAGGAAGAAAGACTGCCTGTGTTTTCCTTCTCCGATGAATTCATTATTCTTCCTCTTGTTTTATCCAGTCCCAAAGTTTTGTATCAGAGCTTCTCAATTACATTAAGGTAAGTTCCTCTTTCTTAACTTGAGTCTTTTGTTGCTGAACGTATTTTTAATCTGCATTTAATTGCTCGGCTGTGTAATCCAAGCAATGGATCACTTAGGAGCAAAATACCTCTTTGGTCCTAATCAGGTCTCTCTGTGGGGTCTTCAGTCCCCTCTGAGCTGGGTAGCTTTCTCGCAGACGTTTCATTACCCTACTAGGTAACGTCATCAGGGCAATATTATGAGCACTGATTGTTCACACAGTTTGATTGTCTCTTTTGAATGGTGTGCAGTTGCGGTTTATCTCTGTAGGCCTGTTGATTCCCTTGTCTTTCCAAGGCAAGGTCTGAAATTCAGGAGAAACTCCCTAACAGTGAGAACAATTAACCAGTGGAACTGCTGGCCACCAGAGGTTGTGGGTGCTTCGTCGGGTTTTTAAGAAAAGACTGGGCAGTCACTTGTCTGAAATGATGTAGGATCTCCTTGTTGAGCAGCGGGTTAGACTAGAAGACCTCCGAGGTCCCTTCCAGCTCTGTTCTGATTGATAGGAGCAATCCACCCATAGGACAGAAGTTGCCTTCGGAAGTTGTGGGAGCTTCATCCCTGGAGGCTTTCAAGAAGAGACTGGACTGACCTCTGTCAATAAGGGTGTACGGTCTCCTGCTTGGGCGGGGGGCTGGACTAGATGACCTCCAAGGTCTCATCCAACTCTGTTATTCAGTGGAATGGCTGGCCTTCGGAAGTTGTGAGAGCTTCATCCCTGGAGGCTTTCAAAAAGAGTTTGGACTTCCATCTCTGAGAAATGGTGTAGGGTCTCCCGCTTGGGCTGGGGGTTGGACTAGATGACCCATAAGGTCCCTTCCCACTCTGTTAATCTGGATAGATAGATAGATAGATAGATAGATAGATAGATAGATAGATAGATAGATAGATAGATAGATNGCTGAGCTTGTCGATCAGAGAGGTCGGCAGTTTGGCGGTTCGAATCCCTAGCGCCGCGTAACGGAGGGAGCTCCCGTTCCTTGTCCCAGCTTCTGCCAACCTAGCAGTTCGAAAGCAGGTAAAAAATGCAAGTAGAAAAATAGGAACCACCTTTGGTGGGAAGGGTGAAAGCGTTCCATGCACCTTCGGTGTTGAGTCATGCCGGCCACAAGACCACGGAGACGTCTTTGGACAGCGCTGGCTCTTCAGCTTTGAAACAGAGATGAGCACCGCCCCCCTAGAGTCGGGAACGACTAGTACATATGTGTGAAGGGAAACCTTTACCTTAAACTAGACAATCGAAATATACTTAAAACCAGAAGAGAAACTACTGTCATTTTAAAAAAATATTCAAGATAAATATAATCCCATTTAGTAAAATCAATTCTGGGTTATAAAGATTTCGCCAGATCTCTGATTAGTGTTTCAAAATTGTCTAGATAGGGGTTAATTTTGAGACTCGGCATGAAAACTAATCCTCCCATCTATTCCATACGCCACAGCTGAATTAATTCTTTTTTTCAAAGTTTTTTATTTATTTTCCATTTAAAAAAATATAAACATTTCATCTCCCCTTAAGCAGTGTGTTATCTGGGTATAATATTTCTGTGCAACAACATCCGACCACAAATTATATACATTGAACAATTATCTCACGTGTAAATCTTCCTTTCCTTCATAACATATCTTCTAATCAAAATACAATAATATTAAACATAATTATTCTCATCATACTTATCAGTTGCCATTTTAGTCTTATCTTTATCTTAATGTAATCTATTCTTTTTCTTGTCTTCTTCCTTCCTTTATTTCCAATTTCCTTTTTTATTCTCTAACCATTGGTAAAAAGCTTCCCATATTATATAATCATCTGTTTGTTCCTTTCCTTGATTGCTAGTGTCAATCTGTTCGTTTCTGCACATTCTAATATTTTCCTAATCACCTTCTCATCGATAGGAAACGCTTCACTTTTCCAATATTTTGCAAATACCATTCTAGCTGCGGCTAATGCATGAATAATTAAATATGTATTTTCTTCGTTGTAAGTTTCAGGCAAGACCTCCAACACAAATATTCCTGGTTTAAACTCAGTGCATTGTGTTATCATCTTTCCCAACCATATCTTTCTTTTTGTCCAATACTTCTGGATCTTATCATATGTAGTGGACAGCTAGATTAATTCTTGTCATTTTACATTTGTGGAAAGAATTCCCTATTTGGGACGAAGGAAAAAGTTACGCAGAAGCCCATGTTGCACGGCGAACCACATTTTATCTCCGTGTTCGCCATTTGCTTCGTTTGACCTTCAGCTGAATTAATGGACAGATCCAGAAAACCGGGTAGATTATTCAGATTGTTCCACGAATCGAGCATCACGCAGAATCTGTCAAGCGAAATCATCCAAGGGAAATCGACGGCGGTGACTTTTCAAATTTTAAAGCCAGCCGACGGAGGATGACTGGATTTTGTTAAGAACGCTAAGAGGCGGGCTGAGACTCACCAAGGGGTTAACACCGAGTGTTTATCTTGGGGGGCAGAGGCGGGGGGAGGTAACCCAGGACAGGGCACCACCAGGAAATCTCAGGGGCGAAGGGCAGACTGGGAATTCTGAAAACATCAAGACGAACTGCCTTTTCCGTTGTTGAGTGTGGTTGCCAGGTGACCCAACAATTGGCCGTTGGTGATGCTTGTTGTCCTCAAGAGTTGTCTGCCCACAACGATCGCTCCCCATAGAAATTGTCCCTCCCTAGACACACAGACACCAACACAAAAACACACCAACACTGCATTGGAATAAGCAGGCTGGAAGCCAACCACCACCAGACACAAGTGATAACCAGGATCGGAAGCCGGCTGGCATAGAAGAAGCCGGGCATCCAAACCACCATTGGCTGAATTGGCAGGCCAGGGGGCAGATCTTGCATGCTGAAGGGGCTTAAGGAAGGGAGAAGCCCCCTCCCCAAAGTCTTGGGGCTGAGCTAATGGAACTGGCAGATGGTTGGTACTACAGTTCTCACAATCCCTGGTTGAGACCCGGCACAGAGGACCCAGTGGGTTCGTCGTAACTCTGGCAGCAGGGGAGGGGGAGGGGCGTGGAAAGGCCGGATGGTAGCTGGGGGTTCACGTGATTGGATGCCCCTCAAAAGAGGTGGGGCTTTGAAGGGTCATAGCTGCCATCTTGGCTTTTTTGACTACTGCCCCCCGACAAGCTTGGTTTAGTATCAGGATAGTTGGGCTGGGAAGGAGAAAAGGGAAGGGAGAGGGGAAGGATGGAGGAGAAAAAGGGAAGGAAGAAAAAGGGAAGAGAGAGGAAGGATGGAGGAGAAAAGAGAAGGGAGGGAGAGGGAAGAAGGAAGGAAATGGGAGGGAGGGAGAAAAGAAGGTAAGGGAGAGAATGGATGAGAAAAGGGAAGGGAGGGAGGGTGAGAAAAGGGAAGGGAGGAAGGAAGGAAGGGGAAAGGGAGGGAGGAAAGGGAAAGGGGAGAGGAAGGAAGGATGAGAAAAGGGAAGGAAGGGAGAGAGGGAAGAAGGAAGGAAATGGGAGGGAGGGAGGAAATGAAACGGGAAGGGAGAGAGGATGGATGAGAAAAGGAAAGAGGAAGGAAGGAAGGGGAAAGAGGGAGGGAGGAAAGGAAAAGGAGAGGAAAGAAGGATGAGAAAAGGGAAGGGAGGGAGAGAGGGAAGAAGGAAGGAAAAAGGGGAGGGAGGGAGGGAGGGAAGGAAAAGGGGAGGGAGAGAATGGATGACAAAAGGGGAGAGGGAGGGAGGAAGGAAGGGGAAAGGGATGGAGGGAAGATAAGGGGAGAGAGGGAGAGACGAAGGAAGGATGAAAAGGGAGGGAGGGAGGGAAGAAGGAAGGAGAAAGGGAGGAAAGGAAGGAAAGAGGGAAGGGAGGGCAGGAGGAAAGGAAAGGAGAAGGACGAATGGGTGAGAAAAGGGAAGGGGGAGAGAGAGAGGAAGGGGAAAGGGAAGGAAGGAGAAAGGGGAAGGAAGGAGAGGGAGGAATGGAAGAGATTGGAGAGAGAGGGGAGGGAGGAAGGGGGTCGGGCAGACCACAGTCCCAATCATCCCCGGCCCTTCCATCTCCCTGAGGCTGGGCTGCTTCTCTTTTGGGGCAGATGCTGAGCCTGAGCGCTTGGCCAACCAGGCCTCCCTCCAGCCGGCCATGCTGCACTCCTCCAACCGTCCGTCGGAGCCCCCAGCGGACCTTTCGCTGCCCGAGGCCTACCACATGCTGGCCGCCCTGATGCAGTTCCCCGCGATGTTCCTCCTCTCGCTGGCCATCTATATGCGGAACTGGGTCTGTCTGAAGCCCGATAACAGCCACCCCGGACCCCAGCCCTTCGCCCTCTACACCTTCGGGCTGCCCTACAGGTTGGACACCTCGCAGAACACCTCCGGTGAGAGCACGACCTCTTTGCCCCACGGATGGCTAGAGGGGGACCTTGGGGAGGGGTGCGATGGCCTAGCAATGGAGCTCTCGCCTCACAATCCGGACGCCGTCAGTTCGATCGTTGGTAGAGGCAGATATTTCTCTCTCTTGGGCACATTGAGAATGCTGAACAAAACTCCGCCCCGGCAACAGGAAGGGCATCTGGCCACTCAAATACTCTGCTAGCTCCATTCAGTAGCCCAGACTCCACCCCACAAGGGATACTTAAAGATAATGATGATGATGGCTAGAGGGGGATTCGCTTAACAACCGTGTGACTCGCTTTAACAACTGCAGTGATTCGCTTAACAACTGGCAAGAAAAATCGTAAAATGGGGCAAACTCACGGAACATATTTCTCGCTTAGCAACATTAATCTGGGGCTCCATTGTGGTCGTAACTCGAGGACTCCCTGTAAAGCCACTGAGACGCTTCTCCTGCCTTTTGCCAATGTGCATTTAATGACCTCTGTCTTGGGTTTCTCTCTCTCTTTTTTGCAGAATATTTTTTCCAGACGGACCGACATCCCCTCAGGCTGATCGCGATCATGGTTTGCTTCCTGAGCCTGTTCTTTGGCGTCACGGCCTTCCTCCTGGACTGCCTGGGCCTCCCGGTGCTGGAGAGGCATCGATCCACGCTGGTCTCTTCCTTCCATATCTTCTCAGGTAATGCTGATGGGGCTGCCCCCCGTTTGCAGGCAGGGATTGGCTCCCTGGGGGTGAGGAGGAGTCTGGATTGGCTCAGATCTGGACAGGGATGGCACTGTGACCTCCTCCTCCTCCTCCTTTTTCTCTCTCTTCTAGTTCTTCTAGCTCTAGTTCTTCTAGTTCTTCTCTCTTCTAATTCTAGTTCTTCTAGTTCTTCTCTCTTCTAGTTCTTCTAGCTCTAGTTCTTCTCCTACTTCTTCTACTTCTCTCATCTAGTTCTAGTTCTTCTCTCTTATAGTTCTAGTTCTTCTCTCTTATAGTTCTTCTAGCTCTAGTTCTTCTCTCTTGTAGTTCCGATTCTTCTAGCTCTAGTTCTTCTCTTCTAGTTCTAGTTCTTCTCTCTTCTACTTCTAGTTCTTCTAGCTCTAGTTCTTCTCTCTTCTAGTTCTTCTCTCTTCTAGTTCTTCTACTTCTCTCTTCTAGCTCTAGTTCTTCTCTCTTCTAGTTCTAGTTCTTCTCTCTTCTAGTTCTAGTTCTTCTAGGTCTTCTCTCTTCTAGTTCTAGTTCTTCTAGCTCTANGATAGATAGATAGATAGATAGATAGATAGATAGATAGATAGATAGATAGATAGATAGATAGATAGATTTGTTTGAGTGTCAGGCTTCTCTAGTGTTTTTATTTAGCTGGCTCTATTCAGTTCCCCAAGGGTTAGGCCTCTCCAAGCATTGTGAAATTAGCAAGTTCTCATCTTCTGCCCACTCCTTGGTGTTCAGGGAGGCCCTCTGCTAGTCTTCTGCCTGTTTGTCCTACGTAGCACTGATGGTGTTACCTAGTTGGGTCGTGAAATGTCTGCAAGCAGACAACCAAGCTTTTAGAGCGCCAGGGGCCCCCAAATCTTATGCCATCATCTCCTCCTCCTCATTGATTGAGATGGGTGGCTATAGAATTACAGACCCATAAGCCTGGAAGGGACCTTTGAGGTCTTCTAGTCCACCCCCCTGCCCAAGGCAGGAGGCCTTATGCCAGTCATGGCAAACCTTTTAGACACCCGAGTGCCCAAACTGCGAGCGCATACCTAAGTGGAAAGGTGCGCGTGCATGCACTGACGAGTGCTTGCACGAACCCACATGTGAATTCGCAGGCAGGCGTGTGTGCACATACATGCGTGCGCAGCAGGGACCCGAACCCCAGCTGGCCGGCGGGAGGCAGGGCATCTCAACACCCATAGAACAGCAAGAGCTAAGATCTTTCGTTTTCCGTGAGCTTCTGTTGCGTTGTTTGCGAGGGGAAAAAACGCCCCGGAAATCTGACCTGGGACGCCGCCGTGCCAGTAGTGGGTTTCAGCCGGTACGGCCCGGTATAGCTGTACCAGTAGAAGCCAGGAGCAGCGGCCACCGTACCGGTACAGTGACTTGTTTGGCCCACCCGCCCTCCCGCGTTTCATACCTGCCAAGCATCTGGGTGTTGCAGGCACAGCGCGCGCATAACCAGGATATCCGGCCCCGTGCGCAGCATACTGGTCGTAATGGGGAGCATTACCCACCACCGTTGCGCGCCTGCGTGCCACCATGCGTGTCATAGGTTCACCATGACGGCCTGATGCCATGCTGGGAAAACGATGCTCCAACCTTGTATGGAAACCTCCAGGGATGGTGAACCCACAGCTCCAGGTGGCACTGATCCATCGTTCTCACTGTCAAGAAATTCCCCCCTATTCAATTATTTAAAACAAATAAACGCATGAACGCATGAACTAATAATTCCCAACCTTCCACCTAGAATTCCAAAGTGGTCCTTTTGGAAGACCTGGCTTCTCACCTGGGACTCAGGACGCAGGTAGGTGGTTGCGAGCCGGACATTGCAAATTGCTGGTGTTACTTTTCCAGTTTTGTGCAAATACAACTCTAGCTCCAGTTAATAGCATGTATAATTTCCGTATTTTTCAGAGTATAAGACGCACCAAGATTTTGAAGAGGCAAATTAAAAAAAAAAAAGTTTTTGCACTCTGCAGGCCTCCCCAAAACAGCCTGTTTTTGTCCCCCCCCCCCCCCCAAAAAAAAAGAGGGCATGCATCGCCTTTAGAAGGCTTATGGAGTGCTCCTGGGGGCTGGGAGGGGGCAAAATTGAGCAAGAAGACGGTCCGTTTTCCGCTCATTTTTGCCCTCCCCAGCCCCCAGGAGCACTCTATAACCCTCCCAAAGGCTCTGCACAGCCATTTTGGTGAAGGGGGGGGGGGGCCTTCAGGAGGCAAAAAATGCTGTATTCGATGTATATGTGACCCGACAAATGCGCGCCCGACAACAGCGCGGCGACAAAACTGCGGCGATAAAACCGCAACGTTGACAGCGTGCCCACAAAGGCGCGCCGACAAAACCGTGGCGACAGAAGCGCGATTACGGTTAAGGTAAGGGTTAGGGTTATGTTCAGGGTTAGGGTTAGGGTTAGGTTTAAGGTTACCTTTAGGGTTAGGTATAGAGCGCGCTTCTGTTGGCGCGCTGTTGTCGGCGCGCTTCTGCGCTCATTCGTCGGCGCGATTTTGAACTCGTGGTTTTTTCCCCGCGGTTTCATTGGCGCACTTTTGTCCAGCGCGCATTTGTCGGTGAAACGATGTATAAGATGCACCCAGATTTTCAGCCTCTTTTTTGAGGAAAAAAGGTGCATCTTATACTCCGAAAAATATGGCAAATGTGCATTTCCTTTACTGTAAATTTCGGAGGGCCTTTTCCCGGCTTACCTGCTTGGTTTTCCCTTTCCCCAGGATGCCATCAACAGAGTACAAGACCTGATGGCAGACGGCACACTCACAGGTGAGTTCCCACACCTTACGGGATTTCCTGCTCTTGTTTAAACCGAAGCAGATGTCTCCACCGTGATACCTTCTGGCCAGCTTCTGTCGGTGCTTCTTGACGATGGCTTCCGTTCGGTTCCACATTTCTCTTTGCAAGGGAAGGAAAAAGAGAAGGGAGGAAGAGAAAGAAGGAAGAGAGAAGGAAGAGGGAGGGAGGGAAGGGAGAGAAGGGACAAAGGGAGAAAAGAGAAGAAGGGAGGAGAAGGGAGGGAGGAAGGAAGATGGGAGGGAGGGATGGAGGAGATAGAAAGAAAGGGAGAGAAGGAAAGGAGGAAAAAAGGGAGGAGAGACAAGGAAGAGAGAAGGGGAGGAGAAAAGGAGGGAGGAAGAGAAGGAAAGGAGACAGGAAGAAGGGAGGGAGGAGGAAGAGGGAAAGGAGGAAGAAAGAAAGAGGGAGGAGAGACAAGGAGAAAAGGGAATGTGGAGAGAAGAAAAGGGAGATGGGAGGGAGAAGGGAAGATGGGAAGGAGGAGACTGAAGGAAAGGAGGAAGAAAGGAGGGAGGGAGGACAGACAAGGAAGAGAAGGAAGGGAGGAAGGGAGAAGAAGAAGAAGAAGAAAAGGGAGCGAGGAAGGAAAATGGGAGGGAAAAGGGAAGGAGGGAGGAAACAGAAGGAAAAGAAAGAAAGGAGGAAGGACAGACAAGGAAGAGAGGAAGAAAGGAGGGAAGAGAGAGGAAGAAGGGAACGAGAAAGCACACCACTCTACCCTGGAACGCAGGTCCATCTATGAAAGGAACGTAAAAAAAAAAACCCTTCCCATTTAAAGAGCCGGAGCTCCTGTCAATCACCCTCGTGAATGGCACAGGCTTTGACATGTTGAAAATACGGGGAAGAATGGAGAGCCAGCATTTCTTCCCTTTGAACCCGACTCCAACCGACGGGTGGTGGGTTCTAATTCCTGTCCTGTCCTGCAGGGGTGATCGACGACCGGGGCAAATTCATCTACATCACCCCTGAAGAGTTGACGGCCGTGGCCGAATTCATCCGCCGTCGAGGGCGCGTCTCGATTACGGAGCTGGCTCAAGAAAGCAACTCTCTCATCAACCTGGAGGCGGAGGCCGGTTTTCTTAGCAAAGGGGTGGCCTGAGCAGCCCCCACCCTCTCTTCTTGGGGGGGGGGGCAAATAAAATCAAGTCTTATTTTTGGGGGGTGNCTTCCTTCCTTCCTTCCTTCCTTCCTTCCTTCCTCCCTCCCTCCCTCCCTCCCTTCCCTTTTTGTGATATGGTAAAAACCCCTCTTTTTACAGCAGAATCCCATCTTCCACCCAGAAAGTTGATACTAGGAAACTTTTGCTCAGCATGCCAAGTTGGTATTGGCCAACCAGCCTACGGAAGAGATCTCTGTCAGTGACAATCTGCCTAGGTGGGATCTCCATCATGGCAGGAAAAAGAGGCCAGACCAAGGAGGAGAGGAAAAAATTACTTTGGGGGGGGGGCTGGGAGTCGAGGGCACCGCTTTCGAATCCAGCATTGGTAGAGTTATTATCTTGGGATCAACTCAAAGTGAGCCAGGCAGATCTTCCTTCTGCTTGCCCCAAAAACTAATAAATAAAACCTTTCGAAATAAAGGTTATTTAACTATTTACCCTACTCCTAGACAAATTGTTTTGTTTTCAAAATTCCATTTTTTAAAATATTGGATGAATTGGTTTGTTTGCTGCCCAATCAGTGGCGGGATTCATTTTTTTTTGACTACCGGTTCTTTGTGGGCGTGGCCTGCCTTTATGGGCATGGCAGGGGAAGGATACTGCAAAATCCCCATTCCTTCCCCACCCCACTAACCCAGTGGTGGGTTCCTACTGGTTCGGACCAGTTTGACTGAACCGCTTTTGGTTTGGTGGCCTGGGTCAATGGAACCGGCAGCGACCCAGGCTTGCCACGCCCCGGAACTGGTGGCATCATCTTGTTTTTCAGTTCTATGCATGCGCAGAACAATTTTAATTGCCTTGTGCATGCGCGCGCAGCGAACCAGCAGTAGTGCCTGCCGGGACCCACCCCTGCACTAACCTGCTTTCCAGCTCTGTTCTCCTGTGCAGGGCAACTAAAGAAGATCGGCTGGGAGGCAGCAGGGGCGTGGCCAGCCTATTTGCCGGTTCTCTGAACTACTCAAAATTTCCGCTACCGGTTCTCCGAGAACCAGTCAAAACTGGCTGAATACCACCTCTGTGCCCAATGCCTCTCCAAGCAAATAACCAGGTGGACAACGGTTGTGTTGGTGATGCCAAGGATAATTAAAAATATGTTTAAAACTTCAGGACAGTCCCTTCCACCTAGGAATCTGTTTTTAAGAGCTTGGGAGGGAAGAAAGGAGCTAACTATGGGTCATTTTATGGGGCCACTTTGATTCTAAACTTGCACTGTCAGGGCCCTGTGCCTGACCAGGACTCCCAACAAATCTGAATCACCAGAAGGGGGCAGTAAAGAGGTGTTTGACTGCCCTCTAATGGCTGTTTGGAGATTTGCATGCTTTTAAAATCATGACAGCACTGGGTAGCTGGATTAAAGGGTTAAAAGGGAATTTCCATGTTTAGGGACATGGAAATGATGGATAAATAAGGAAAAACTTGTTAGGTATCCCTGAAGCAGAACTTTCTTCCTACCCTCTCTTCTCTTTCCTTCCTCCCTTCCCTCCTCCCTTCCTTCCTCCCCCTTCCCTTATTCCTTCCTTCCTTCTTTCCTTCCTTCCCTCCCTTCTTCCTTCCTTCCTTCCTTTCTTCATTCCTTCCTTCCTCCCCTCCCTCCTTCTTCCTTCTTTCCCTCTTTCCTTCCTTCCTTTCTTCCTTCCTTTCCTCCTTCCTTTTTCCTTCCTTCCTTCCTTCCCTCCCCCCTTCCTCCCTTCTTTCCTTCCTTCCCTCCTCCCTCCTTTCTTCTCTCCTCCCTTCTTCCTTCCTTCCCTCCCTCCCTCTCTCTTCTTCCTCCCCCCTCCTCCTCCTCCCATTATCACTTTTTTATTTTAACCCTTTTTAGGGATTTGGGGAAGAGAGCATGGAACTTCCAAAGCCTTGGGGCCCACCGTGGGCACAAATGGCCTGAAAACATACCCGGAAAATGCCCCCCAAAATGGCCAAAAACAGGCATGGTCTTTGGGTTTCTGGCTCTCCGGTGTGCGCCGTTTGGGCACTAGGTGCCCAAAAGATTCACCATCACTGCCCTATACCATTCCAGACAAGTGGCAGCCCAACATCTTCTTTAAAACGTCCAGTGTTGGGGCATTCAAAACTTCTGGTGGCAGGCTGTTCCACTGGTTAATTCTTCTAGCTGTCAGGAAATTCCTCCATATTTCTAGGTTGCTTATCTCCTTGATTAGTTTCCACCCATTGCTTCTTGTCCTGCCCTCAGGTGCTTTGGAGAATAGCTTGACCCCCTTTTCTTTGGGTCAGCCCCTGAGAGATTGGAAGATGCTATCATAGTGAGAGTAATAGCCCTTAGACTTATATACCGCTTTGCAGTGCTTTTACAGCCCTCTCTAAGCGGTTTACAGAGTCAGGCTCTTGCCCCCAACAATCTGGGTCCTCGTTTTACCCGCCTCAGAAGGATGGAAGGCTGAGTCAACCTTGAGCTAATAAGAATCAAACTCCTTGCAGTGGGCAGAGTTAGCCTGTAATACTCCATTTTAACAGGAAGGAGGGAAAGAAGGAAGGACGAAAGAAGGAAGGGAGCCAGGAAGGAAAGAAAGAAAGAAAGAAAGAAAGAAAGAAAGAAAGAAAGAAAGAAAGAAAGAAAGAAAAGAAAAGAA